CTTCGAAGTTGGCCTTGGTTAGAGCCTCTCGGCTCCATGGTTGAGGACGAAAGACGATGAACACGGTTGGCTGGATACCCTTGTTAACATGGTTAAGAGCCGATCTCAATGGCGTTCGTGTTGTTTCTTTGTCCCTCCCTGTCCAACGACGATCTCGTTTATTAGGTATAATATAACTTTTTTTGCGGCACAATATCCAGCTGTTAGCTTTCCGGCACGATGTCCATCCGTTACTGGTGACTCAGCCTATGTGCCTCTGTTTCATGTTTTTTTTCTTTTGTAATGCGGCACAATGTCTGAGGTATTTTCCACCTGCAGCTAACGTCTATAATGAAGGAATATTTCTGTATCATGTCTACCCAACTGGTGGCGATGCGTTTTTAAATTTGGCTTGTAATCCATGGATCACCGGTTTGAGTCTGCATAATGCGGACGACGTTGCCGTATCCAAGCCCCTGTGCAACAACTAGCGGTTACGGGGTAGAGAAACACCGCTACTATCTTACTGCATCATTTCTGGTTTTCCTTTACCGAAAATGTTGCTAAACACGTTTGTTGAGCTCTTGTGGTTGGCCCTAAACGCAATGGGATGTAAGCTAAGAATTTGAATGTAGAATTCGGAACGCAGCTGCAGTTTCGGAATCCGAGACCTGATCGCTACCCACTGAAGAGATTAACAAACTCACCGTTTTGACAACTGATACCTGAGAGATACTTTTCATGTCTGTATAGAGCAACGGATGAGTAATACTGAATTTCGTCACTCCACTTTTAGCGACGAGCCATCGGGTGTCTCATTGGAGTGTCTGTGTAATTCAAGCTGGCTCCGCCGGCTCGGTCATGTTCTCCGCGTGTCAACAAGTCGGCTACTCTGGCATGTATTTTTTGTCAACATTGCGCCTGTTTAGGGTAGACGCCGAGCTGTTCAGTTATTGACGTCACAAGGAAACGTGAAGTGCGCCAAAGGGCCAAGGTTTTCGGAATTGACCACGTCAGTGATTGAATACCCTATCGAATCCAGTGTGGTACCCAAGTTCGTGGCGCCTCGGAATTTCGCCATATTATTTCTGGGTCTCTGGTGATTTCAGTTCATACTGTTTACGTTGATTTACTACTTTTACTATTATCATTCCACGATGTAAGCCAATACAACCAGGCACACTGCTTTTTGGTCAGATAAAGTGACCTGATATAACGACTTACTCCTGGTTATCATAGGATTTTTGTCAGTGGAGCGTAAAATCTGGCGATTCGATCCTGCTTTGTGGGTAGTTGTGGTTTAGCCAACTCGGAATGACCAACACATAATAATAATAATGATAATAATAATAATAATATATTTCTCATCGAGCGAAACTGTGCCCATATTTGGTACAGATCGTTTTACAGAATATGTCATGCTCATGCATGAGTAGTGAACAGTTGTGCGATTTTAATTTTCTTTGTTGTTTCAAGTGTATGTACTTACCCACAGGTATGTTTTAATGCAATGAGCACTAGCTGGCTTAGTGGATAGTGACAGCACTATGGGTGTATCACACTGCGTGAAACCACTTCTATTTTACCCATCCGATGTTGTATGGCCCATACTGGAACAAATCATCAAGTGATCTCTCCCAAGAGAACAGGGACATAATCGTGTTCAAATATAGGTAATTAGTGAGCTCAACGCGAAAGGTCGTTGCGCTCTCACACGATCTGATTGTGACTTGGAGCTTATTCCACAGAACAGCATAGCTGGTAAGGAAAAAGTTGGACCGCGGATTTATCTTGCATTTGGGTACACTCAGGGTAAACTCCTTATTGCGGAGCTCCCTTGTCGAACTATGCTGTAGTTCTAGGGAAGGTAAATAGCAGTGGGTGTTTTGATGAATCACGTTGTACAGAAGCATCAGGTTGTGTCCCAGTCTTTGTAGCCAAAGTGGATCGAGCTGGAATTGTTGGCAGCGCTCCCGAAAGTTCTCAGTGGATGTTTTGCCTAGCAAACATTTGTTAAATTACGTCTGTGTACATTCCAGAGATACTCTCAGATATCCTCATGCTGCCACAAATCATACTGTAATATTCCAAGATGGGGTGAGTGAGAGTTTTGAAGTTATACTCCGGCTGGGGTTATGTGGATCTTATACAGTATATTAACCACTGATTTCCTAGCCCTTGCCCGCTGGTATTCGGATAACTTGAAGGTGCAAGAATACCTGATTCCGAGGTCATGGGTAGACAGCTGTACACATAGGTGTTCGTCGTTGAGTGTAATTGATCCCTCGGGTATCGAACAACCACGATACATGATTCTAGATTTTTGCGCCGAGAACTTCCTCATTCAAGTGTCACCATTTCTCAAGGAGTGGAGATCTTCCTGTATGAGCATTAGTGTATCTTGAAGTTTATCTCGTCGGAATTTGTAGACTATCTTTATGTCAACTGTAAATAGGAAAGGCATGCCCTGTCTGATAACCGTACTGATATCATTGACGTAGAGCAGGAACAGTAACGGACCAAGTACACTCCCTTGGATAACGCCATTAGTGATTGGATGTGGTGAAGAGTGGTGGTCGGCTAGGGTAACTACCTACGAATGGCCGCTCAGATATGACAATAGCCAGCCAGCTTCGGCTGGATCATGAAGGGGCTGTCCGTCTGCATTAACCAGTCCATCAATCGAGGGGGAGTGGTTATTGGTTCTGCATCGCAGGATTTTAACAAGTTCTTTCGTTTTACATGTTCGTAGAGCCATATGTTCTTCGTGTATTCCCTTCGTCAACTGTATGTGCTTGACCCTGTCAACGATATTGTGCAACTTTAATAGCAAGGTGAAATTTCCCATCTTGCTGTATCCAGCAATTAGTCTTTCGTGTTTCTGGCTGACTGAACGCACGTTTGCGTCTTTTTGGTCACGTGTATTCCCCTTGTCTTGGGCACTAAGGACAGCAATGGCCTGATGGACCCGATGGTAGAAATAGTCCACAGCAATGCACACAATGTCAGAGAGGAAGAATGCGTCCCAATCGGATGATCGGATAAATTGTTGGAATTGCTTCCAGTTTATCTTATGGGATACATATTGCGGAATAAAGACGTGTTTGGTAGTCAATTTAACGCAGAAAGTGAATCCTACCATCTTGTGGTCGCTACCAGGGTGTTTGTCTAATACCTCTGTGCAATTGTGACCTCCAGTATACTGGTCGCTCTTGTTGGTTCAGTAACTTACTGTATCCACCCTCCGATTCGGAGAGAGGAAAGGAAAGCTGTATATGTAGACGAGGATGGTTTGGAGGACCAGCTAATCTTTGGTAGGTTACAATCATCAGCAATTATCTTCTGTCTGTGTGGCATCAGAGCACTCGCGGTTGACGCAGTTTGCGGGTTGTAAACACATCCGAGTAGAATGTGAGGATCGGTTCCTGACGCGGACAAGCAAAGAGATTCTGAGACATTTGATAGCTGTGGATGATCAAGAAGCTCTGCTGCAAATGTACGGTGTAAGTATATCATGCATCCACCTCCTATGCCTGTGTCGCTGTCTTTTCGGAAAAACCCATAATTAGGAATCATTAAGGTATAATCTAAGATATCGGAGGAGCACCAAGTTTCTGTAACGAGGATTGCTTGTCGGTCGTTGATATGTGCAGCCATGCTTAGAAAGTACCACTTGTCGTTGGTAGATCGGGCATTAAGTAGAAGTACAGAAAACGGACTATTGGGTGTGGGGTTATTGCGTTGCGGTTTGTTGTCAGGTACTATGGACGCAAGAGATATGAATGGAAGTAGGGAGTCGAGTCTATTATTAGTAGGCGTGGTGATGTGGGTTATGCCATTTGTGAATGCCGATATTGCTTTGGACAGGGAGGTGGTTGAGGGAACAAGTCTAATTTGGGGATGGCGTAGCAGCTGGCTAGCCGAGTCATCTGAAAAAATTGCAGGAACAATGGGAACAGGTAGTTGGCTTCTGCCGGGTATGTAATGAGTGGGGTTAGCCGCGGTTGCTTTCCCTCCTCTAATAAAATGGGGTCGTATTGAGGGGTGTTGGGAAAGGCTGCACTTATATGACACGGGATGGAAGGTGGCGTAGTTCTCGTGATAGTTTATTCTGTTATCATTACTGTGCCTAATTTTGTGGTATGTGAGTGAATTATGGCGAGGCGTATCCAAAAGAAATTTGTTTCTGGATTTTGTCGGCTCAGGATATCGCTTTATATGGTGTTTGTGCGATCTACATTGGTAGATTTTATCAGTTTCTGTCGTGTTCTTCATAGATTTAAAGCTTCTGTCGGAACCGATGAGTGGCTGTGGGTTTTCTACATTATTAGGTTGACTGCCGATGAGAGTATTTTGGGTGTTGAGTTCAGCTTGCGACATTGCTACGGAGCCCTTGATAATCAGCTCTTTTCAATGTTTAGGAGTTACTCCATCGCTTATAAACGGTGAATTCAATTTGGTTGACCCACAGGCGTCAAGATTGGGAGGATAGTAATTGGTAGAAGTTTGCTTGGGTGACATTGCAGTGCCATCAGGAACGGTGGTGATCGAGGTCCTTATCACATGCGGTGAGCTGTGGAGATTTACTTCAAAGTGCCCAGTTGCCGCATTAGATAAGTTATCTTTTTGGTCTTTATTATGAGAACACTTAACACAAATAGTCGTTTGAACCGGTGATGGTGAAGAAAGATAATGAAGTGACCTTTGTAAAGGCGTACGACCAATAAGTCTTTGAACTCGATCCACTGTGCCATAGCGAACTGATTAATTAACAATCGGTTCGCGGATTCTTCAGTTCAAAATTCAAAAACGATCGGGCAGCGGTGCCTCGATGTCTTCTTTCTCACACGGAAGCATTTGCACTCGATCTCAGACATGTTACAGGCCTTAAGTACGTGTGTCATTGTAAATCATGCTCTCGGTCGATGTTTTGCCGGTGAAAACTGAAACACACTATATACGTGTGGAGTAAGAATTGCTACAATTCACTATTTCCGGCTTCTCTTTCACAGTGCTTTTCAGGCAAATGACCCAGTCACCCCTCCTGAGCGAGGAAGAAGATCGGCGTTGGAAAATTGCGGCGGAAGCCGGTGAAAAATTCAGCGCTCTCTACTATCGCGCATTTGACAAGCAAGATCGTGTTGATCTACCCGGTTTTTTCATGGAGAACGTGGTACTTTTGTGGAACGGGAACCGAACAGAAGGTCGTTCTCTCGTCCTTGATTACTTGAACAAATTGCCAAAAAGTTCGACTACGCTACATTCGCTTTCGGCACAGCCGGTCCACAGTAAGTGCAAACGACATTCCGTTCTCCCTATCAGTACAACTTCGCAATTCATGTCTCCGGTTCTGTCTTCATTCGCGCTGGAGCCTATGAAGCTTGTTTCAGTTAAACCTTGAATGCTATCGAGTTAGATCGATCTCAGGCTCTGATCCAGCGTACATTAGTTAGCATTTCTTGCATACTTCTTGAGAACTTCGTTTTTGTTTGCCTGCGATACCTTTGATCCTGTTGCGTCAATATCGATTTCCCATTACATTCTCTAACTCATCTTACTAGCGCCTGCGATTTAGGTACACCTTTGATACTCCCTACTCTCAGTGATTCATTCCATCCCACTCTTTAGGCAGATATATATGAGACTTTACTTCTAAGCTTGGACACCTTAAGCTTGTGACACCTTAGGGTGTCATGTGGACAAGAACCGAGGCGCTCCTCACCTCTAGCTAACGAGTTAAATGATGATGATGATGAAACTTTTAGCGGCAGTTGAGTTGGCAGGAAGACCCTTATTAGCTTGCTGCTAACGATGCGTAGAGGCATCTTTGCGAAATGTGATTTCTGACTAGAGACTTATTCCAAAGGACAACTCTTCTATCTTAGAACATCGGAGTAAACCACAAGATATTTCGCAGTCAGTGTCAGCCATCGCATCCGGATTCGTGGTAGCTTTCTGATTCTGACCACGACGAACTTTGCCAGGGCAAACATTTCCTTCACTACTCTCTGATTGGTCATCATTTGCCTTAGCAGCTTACTCGCCACAGCAGTTGGTAGTGGCTTGCAAAGAAAGTCGTGGATCTTGAGACCTATCTTGTTGTTTGAGCGTTCATAGCATGCATGACAGCAAAATATGTCTTGTGCTATATCGCAGTTAATAGTCAGGCATAGCGATCCGTTGCTGTCACCCATGCCTCAGTCGCTAATCACGAGCTCAGAGCCTGTGGATACGCGCTGCTGAGTTCCAGTAGAACGAAACGACCGTTTAGCGTTTCTCTGGATGTGTATTGGCCTTCTGGGATGATTCTCACTGAACACAGAAAATTCCTCGTGACTGACTTTACTATGCGTTTCGATACCTAAACACTTATTTGTGACACTTTCCCAAGAAAGGGAACTTCACTGTTGCACTTATCGGATTCCGTCATCCACAACCATCAGGACGTAAGAGAAAGCATGTGAATCGCCGAATAACGTTTGTTTCTCCATGGACAAGTGTTGTGCGTTCATGCCGCTCGATTTTGCCACACAACCTCATTTGTACCAACTTACTATCTTGATCCTCATCTTGTTTCTAACTCATATTCTTTCAGAAAGTCTAAGCGGGGACCGCCTGATCGTCCTAGTCAATGTGTTTGGCACCATCAGATTTGATCAGCATCCGCAGCACCAATTTTCGGAAACATTTTTTCTCACCCAGGAAGACAAACTCTGGCGAGTTCAGTCAGTTACCTTCAGATTTATTGACTAGCTATATCTCCAAGTGTACTCTTTCTTGTACAGTACTTTCATGAATCTCTTGTGAATACAACAATGGACTTTCCGCGTATCGCCGTACTTTACTTGTCGTTTACTTTTCTCTAGCCCTCTCTTACCATGTAGTTACTCCCGACGACTGGGTCTGGGCGATTTTATCTGAATGTCTTTCAGCATCTTCGGGCGTGAGGATGTTGAATCACTTGGTAGGGGTGATGCTCGACCACCGACGCAAAGCAGAAGTTCTCTGTTTGTAAACTCAACGAGATCAGATTGAGATTGCATGTCGCAATCCAAGACACACGGTGGGTCTCAAAAATCCGAAAATCAACTTCTAACCATTGTGTCAAGCACTGCTCACGGAGTTCAATGGCCTAGTGATAGCCGCCAAGCACTATGCGCCTAGTTCCACTCCCAGCTCGGCTATCTCTACCTGATGAGTTTAAACCAGGACGAACCCGTCGGTCGTGGAGTGCAGGGATCGGAGAGAGCCACACCGAAATCCTCCACTTCGGTGACGGTCCTAGTGATTGTATTGGCAGAGGCTGACTTCAAAGTCAACCGAGACCACAATTGAGATTGCATGTCGCAATCCAAGACACAGGGCAGGTGCTCCAAAACCGGAAAATCAAGATCAGATCAACTTTCGAGATGACTGTTATACCCTGTCTTTGTCAATCTGCGAACGGCTAGTAGGCTATTGAATGTTATGCAGTCAGATGCATGATAACCTCATCACCATCGTAACATACAAAGATGCAGCAACAGCGGACGGTTATTGGGTGTTATCCCCACTAAAACACTGCACTCCACGAGCGGTTTTGCGCTTATTTGACCTTATCAGGTAGAGACAGCAGGGCTTTCGAGAGGTCAGCCGGTTGTGGCGTACAGTGTTTTCGGGTGATCAACGCTCACCATTTGCCTCTTTCATCAGTTACTGTCCCAATAATCGAACTGACCAATGTCCACTTCAGTGCGAGTCGCGGACTACATTGAAATTGCACTTCGCAATCTATTATCACACAGAGTGCTTCGTAATGATCCTCTAGTACTTGCAGCAGATTTTATACGCAGGGCACCGATAATCGATCAGTCGACAAATCCGGTCAAGTAACCATAGCATCGGCAAATTACGGGATGGGAGAAAATACCCCGCTAAGTACTTGCTTGCGTACATCCTCGTTGCGCGCACTCTGGTGCAATCCAACAGTAGCAATGATTCTCAGACAACCATGGCGGATGATTTGAATGCCCTCAGACTGAAGCAGCCAAGTCTCTCTTCCACAGAGGAGACAGTCATCACTGCATGGTATGTGTGGTTTTCGTGTGGATGAAAATCCATCATACTGTAGCGGTAATCGCGCGGTCTCAAATGTTTCCCCCTGCTGTCTACGGCAGGGTTGGTAAGCAAAGATAGACCACTACTGCTGTCTCCATCCTTTTCTGTCTGTTTCCCCAGCTCTCTCTTCCTTCCATTGTTAACCTTTCCAACCTGCGGCTGTACGGGATCTCTACGATCTGTACTCCCTGCCGCCACTGTGCCTAATGGTCACCTGCCATCAAACCCTCTATCAAGCCACTCTACCCCGTTTTTATGGTGGCGCTTAGCGTTTGTACTCCAAAACAGACAGGTTAACCGATTACATATGCATGCACACGGACGATAATGGTAATTCAACCACACGTCAGGCTCAAGTGGGCATAGTTATGGACTTTGGTGCTGAAAGCTCGATGTTTGACTGGGATTCCATGAGCACTCGTTTATGTGCAGTCCGATTGACTGCGTGCACAGCATCACTAGTTGTTCGCCGTTTCCGCCTACGTTCAAATCGACCGTAATCTTGATACCATCAGATACCTATCAGGAACTTCAAAATATAAACAGCTCATATTTGTTTTTAGTCAAAATGGATATGAGTGCGCTAGTGGATCTTATAGGCTTCTCAGAAGCTCAACCAAACGAAGTTTTTGCTAGACTCTGAATGTACCGACAACGGCGAGCACATTTTATCTGCGTGCCGAGCATTTTTTTTTTAGCGGCACCGCTTTCAGTCACAGTGAGCGCCGGTCTACCACTTAACATCTTCTGACAGCTGCACAGTGCTGGGCCTGCATACCGCGGCACCAAAAGCTCCAGGTATAAATTGTTAATTGTCACTTGTTTTGGAACTTGTATCGATTCTTAATCTGCCATGGTACGTAGCCGAGTTTCCTTCGCCAGAACTGCTGTAAGCGATTCTTCCGAGTGGGAAATGAGGAGCTATCTCAGCTTCCGGTTAAGTAACATAAATGGCGTCAACGGGAGATCTCTATCTTCCTGAAGGGCGGAATTTACAGTGCAGCCGTCTGTTCAACCCTCCTGTACGGTTGCAAAACCTAGCCCATCAAGTCCACAGACATTAAGAGGCAAGTTACGTTCGATCCTTGCTGCCTTCTCAGCTTAGTTCATGTCTGGCCGGTGGCTGAATGGTCTGCGCGCCTGGTTTGCAACCATAACGTCACCGGTTCGAAGCCGCGTAGAGATGTGCGTCCTCACGGTATACTCAGCCCACACGCGACTGGTGGTGGTCGCGTGGCAGCGAAACGCCGTTACTGCGTGCATCTGGTGTTTCTTTTACCATTGGGAGCACCGTTTTGGCACTGATCGTATTCGGTGTCGCGTATTTGGTGCAGGAAGAGCGAGTGAACCGCTGAGCCCTGTTATATCACGCACCAGGTTCCGATCGCTGAGCCACATATTTCGCATGCCAGCCCACCCACTCCCGCGTCGTGCGTTGTTTGCGGGGCGTGGGGGGTGGATGGACGAAGAGGAGGGTAGGCTAAGGAATGACTTGGTTAAGAGGAATAAAGTCCCTCACTTTGAACTTGACGTCGGTTGCTGTCAGCTGACTGTCACATGAGACCGAAAGACGATGAACACGTCTGGTTGGATGCGCTAGTTGACAAGGCAAGGAGCCGACCTCAATTGCGCTTATACTGTGAGTTCGTTTTGCCCTCCCCCTCCCGCTTCACACTCCAATCACGACTTCTCCCTTGAGGCCTATGTTACCAAGCAATGTGTTACCAGTATTTTGTATTCTATAATGTTTAGTATCTCACTTTTCACATATCCTATCTTTTTGTATTGTGACATAATAGGTGAAGTGTTTTTCGCATTTAACCAAGTTATAATAACGATGACTGGAATGATCCATCTCCTAAGTCTTCGTCTAATTGCTCTGAAGTCATCAAGTTTCTGGGGGAAAATAAATTCTGACACTGTGCACGGCGCGAAAGCTTCCGCTTGTGGCATCATCAGTCATCAGCGCGTCGGAGACAGATAGTAGATGCTCGAAAGTCCGGTAAACCTGTTTGAATCCAGAATAAATATCCCTGAAACTGACGGCTTCAAAAGTCACCTGCACATCGATCAGGGATTCAATCAGCAAGATTACACTATGCATATCAGCGCACTGACGATGTCACCTCGCATGGTGATGAGATGTTTGCAAACGAATTTCCAAGGTCGGCGAATAAATGAGCAACTGAATCGTCAACCGGAGCTACCTGTGTTTCGAAACATTTTAATGAAGCTTGTTGTTGCACCCCTAGGTCTCGGGATATGGACGGAATGTGCCGAGGGGTAGCTTCCGCACTCTTCAAGTAATTCACATCACTGACCAATGAAACAATTCGTACTATTTCTTAATCCACAGTAAGAAACGTCAACTAGTACTTTAGTAGAACAAGATCAAAAGTCCCCTGTCACCTTGCGGTGCTGCTTCTTGTTTGGGTGCCACGTAATGAATCATGGCCTGCAAATCGAGACGCTCCATCTGTAGCTAACGTTTGAAACGCGACCACAGTCCTCAACTGCTTCCGCGCTGATGGCGCAAGTTCTCCCGTACCTTTGTTATTTACTAGTGCCGATGCGATCTGTGCAGTGAACTAACTAACTGTGTTGGGTACAGATTGTGCCCACTAACTGGAACGAATCGATTTCAGTGATGAACACCAAGAATGGCGGTCGTAACGTCTGCAGATCAGAGGAACATCGTTTCGATGCCAGCAGCGCCAAAGCTATTTGCTCCCGTTCCCGTCTTACATCCGGTTGTAGAAAGGGAATTTCCGTTGAGAGAACGGGCAGCATTTCGACTATGATCACCGGATCAAGAATCCTTGTCAGTTAGTGGCAGGTGGGCATACTTCGCACGTGCGCGTGTCGACGCAAATTGCTCCGTCTGATCATCGCAGTCTAGCACATATGTATCTGCTCCGTCTTCATGGACGCGCTGGAGTGCGCTAATGAAAACACCGCTCCTTGGGTGATGACGTTCAGAAGCAAGGTGTCAGATGGTTAGACCGAAGAGACCCAGTTACGTTATTTTAAGAAAAATTGGCTTGTTTTGGTTCCATGTACACAAACTCGAGAGCCAAGAAAGAGTCACAAGTGCCACAGGCTCGTAGGACCAATATATATATATATATATATATATATATATATATATATATATATATGCAAGGGTCTACGATTAGACATAAAGCCATCAGAAACCATGGGGTACAGAAATAGTAAAAGAACACACAACACAAAACATCGAAGCTCATGGTTTCGTCAGAGGGCGAGATACTACCCGGTTGCCCAAGCCGAAATAGGGTGTTGACTTAGGGGACACCTCCCCGAGCCTTTGGCTGAATAGCCTGCCCGCAAGACAGCGGAGCGAATTCAGGGAATTGCGCCCATTGGGAGCCGGTGACTGATTGCTCAGTTCATACGCCTTTCGTTTGTTCCTTTGTCAAACAGGGGCCCAATGCTCCCTAGAATTACAGCATAAATTTGCTGGGATACAATGCTTCACCAGGATGAAGCAAGGGGCAGACTTTAGTTAGTGGCGAGTCACATCCGCCACGTCACAGTGTTGTTAAACGGACATATGTGGCTTTTTATAGGGAGAATGCTTGCCAGGCGAAAACCCACCACGTCCTGGAACACTGCCGCCGAACCATTTGCTGGAACGGGAAAATCCCGAACCACCCAGCTGGCACCACGAGGAGGTTGTTCGGCAAGCCAGCACGTGAATCGATCTGG